ACAAAACGCCGCGCGCCGGGCTCGCTCGTAAATCGAACTTTAGCACGGTACAAAACTTTTGTCTGTAATTTTTACCTGTCGCGAGTACGGGGCGAGTAGGCGCTGCGCAAACGTTCCGCACGTTTGATAAGTTTTTATAATTCCGATCGCCTTTTTTGGGCGCGCACAACAGTTCCGACGTTTCAATCAAACACGTACACGCGGAACGGTGTTCTACCCATCGAAATTTCTCCGGACGGACTGTGTTCACGTCAAGGGAAAACACTGATATCGACACGCCCATATTATTATATATTATATATTATATAATTATATTTATATATTATTATTATTATTATATATTATATAATTATATTTATATATTATTATTATTATTATTATTATATATTATATGTTATATACTATATAATTATATATTATATATTATATAATTATATCGCCCATATAATTTCCTGTCAATCTTTATCGGAACGAGACCTGTCTTATTGTTTTTCTCCTCGGATACGAGCTTCACCGTCGAGAATGATTTCGTCGCTTTTTTTCTTGCGTGAATTAGATCGTTCGCAAAACACACGAGCGAATTTGATAAAAATCAATTGGACAGTGTACATTATTGTCGTCGAAGTTTTTTTACACGTCGATTTAACCACGAGCTCGACGAAACGCTCGACGCCCGCGTTCGTCGAGAACCGTTCGAAATTAATTATCGAATGTTAACGATCGCCTTGCATTGCAGGTTTTCTACCAAAGAATCGGCGACACACGCTATCGTGGCCGTGCACAACACCGACATCAACGGTCAGACGGTGAAATGCAGTTGGGGCAAAGAGAGCGGAGACCCGAACAATGCTCAACAAACTGGACAGGTAAACGTTCGGCATTTGTCAAGCTTTTAGGGCGACGGAGTCACACAGATGTAACTTACGGGTTCGATACTGGACGAGGTATTAGAGATGAAATTCGACGAACGTGCGTACAGTAATTTCTTTTAGAAATGTTCGGAGGGCGGAATTGAAACCGGCAGATCCGAGAATACTGAGTCGCGATTCTTTGGACCTCGCGGTTCGTTTTTATGGAAATTTCGGGCAGTCGGCGAAAAGATGACTTAACTTTCTTATTTCTAATTTTTTGCCACGATTCGAAGGCAATTCGGAGGCCACGTGACATGATTCGAAGGCAATTCGGAGGCAATTCGGAGGCCACGTGACACGATTCGGTGACAATTTGGAGACCACGTGATAGTATTTGAAGGCAATTCGGAGGCCACGTGCCATGATTCGAAGACAATTCGGAGGCCACGTGACACGATTCAAAGGCGATTCGAAGGCAATTCGAAAGCCGCATGGCACAATTCGAAGCCAATTCGGTCGCATGACACAATTCGAAGGCAATTCGGAGGTCACATGGCACGATTCGAAGGCAATTCGGAGACCACGTGACACGATTCGAAGGCAATTCGAAGGCAACATGCCACGATTCAAGGCCACGTACCTAACACAATAAATTCTTCTTAATTCACGCTAAGATTGTGCACAAAAATGAACAATTTAGTAAGAAGAGATACGATTATTCGAGCCTTGCGGCTCGTTTTTATAATCGTTGGCAATAACTATAAAAAATAACGATAAAAACGAGCGATAAATGACATAGGCGTGGGACTAGCACAAGAAAACTCACAGCAACCCGAACTACATCATTTCCAGAAGAAATTACTGTATTTTGAAACTTCTCCGATGCAATCCGCCCGAATCGACGTTCTAAATTCCACACGATTCTCGTTAAAACCGCTTCCTATCCTCTCGAGCAACGCACAATTTAACAAAATAACTAATCAAAAGAGAAACCGCGCAATGCGACGCATCACTGGTGAACAAAATTCCGCCAAGAACATCGCGCTGTCTCGAAAGACCGCGCGGAAGGGCGCCGACGATCGCGCGTCGATTTCCGATCGAAAACTAAGTCAGCCCCGAATTAGAAATTGAGATGACCCGGTGAACGCGTGTCATCGTTACGTTACGAGTTCGATCGACCTTATCGTTCGAGTTGGAATGAAATCAAGGGCCGGCGGTTCCGGGGCGCACGTTTCATTACCGCGTTCCCTTAAACCCGGCGAACAATCGAAGACGGGCTAAAAGCCCGGGATCGTCCGGCAAAACGAGAGTCTCGACCGAAACACTGGGAACGGTCGTCAATTAATCTGCGCAACTCTCTCTCTCTCTCTCTCTCTCGCTCTCTCTCGCCGCGATATCATCGGTTTCCATCGGCATCGATACAGAATCCCCGTCGCCGTAGGGCCATTATACCTCGTTTAGGGATCATTAGCGGGGACAAGTCGCGAGACGGTAAACTCTCTTAGGCATCGGCGCAGGAAATAATTATGGTGTTCGATTTCTAATTCCGTCCGGCTCCGGTGTACGCGTTCGCGAAACGACGAGAGGCCCCGGCGCGAGTTGTCGAGATAGAAGGGAACGCGGGAAGGGACCGGGGACGGGAACAGGGAAGGGAACAGAAACGGGAAAGAAAAGGGGACACCGGGAGAGAGCGAGCCGGGCAAGATTCCGGTCTATTCACGAGTCTTGCTCTCGAGTGTGTCTATTAGGTCTCTTAGCAATTAGCGCCGGTAGGATGAGTAAGTACGTCCGATCTGGGAATGGTAGCCGAAGTACGTCCTCCTCGCCGCCCTTTCGCTCCCCCTCGCCCGGTACTTCTGTCCATCCATCCGCTGTTACCCGGCCCGTGACATCGCTCTAATTGATCCCTATTCCCATAACGCGGCTCTCCCACGGGCACCGAGGATATCGCCAACACCGCGTTCCTCGTCGGTGGTGCGGCCGCCTACTCGGCCGCGTTACACTGTCTCCGTGTTCGATCTCCTTCTTAACCTTGCTGAATTGCCCCGGAGCCGGCGACAATCGAGCCTGATCGATTTCACGGGTCTATCGCGCGCTCACGGTGGCCGGACCCCCTATCTTCCATCATCTGCTCGCAATGTCCTCGGGATATAGTTTCCTCGTTGCGTGACACGATTTTCAAGCATTCATTATTCTCGACCTTCGTTTAATTTTCACCGGTCGTTCGGAACGTCGTATTTTCTTTCTTTTTTTCCAACGGAGATTGGACAGACGTTCAACGCGTTTAAACTCTTTGCACTCGAAGCCAAATCGACGCAGAATTTAACGCTAAACCGACCGACCTGTAACGATGATTAGCTTGCATTGACTCGTAAGAGTGAAAAGATAGAGTTCATTTGGATTTTGTGAAGTTTTAATTATGAGACTTGTTTCAATAATATTCAATAATAATAATAATATATTATATTATATTATATTATATTATATTATATATATTATATATATTGTATATATTATATATATACATATATTAAGAACTATATTAACACTAAACCTACCACGGTCAAAATGACCGATTTTTTATTTTACGATACTACAAGATGTGTATAAGAGACAGCACTGAGGTACTGCGGGCCACTATAGTGGCCCGCAGTAGATGTGTATAAGAGACAGCACTGAGGTACTGCGGGCCACTATAGTGGCCCGCAGTAGATGTGTATAAGAGACAGCACTGAGGTACTGCGGGCCACTATAGTGGCCCGCAGTAGATGTGTATAAGAGACAGCACTGAGGTACTGCGGGCCACTATAGTGGCCCGCAGTAGATGTGTATAAGAGACAGCACTGAGGTACTGCGGGCCACTATAGTGGCCCGCAGTAGATGTGTATAAGAGACAGCACTGAGGTACTGCGGGCCACTATAGTGGCCCGCAGTAGATGTGTATAAGAGACAGCACTGAGGTACTGCGGGCCACTATAGTGGCCCGCAGTAGATGTGTATAAGAGACAGCACTGAGGTACTGCGGGCCACTATAGTGGCCCGCAGTAGATGTGTATAAGAGACAGCACTGAGGTACTGCGGGCCACTATAGTGGCCCGCAGTAGATGTGTATAAGAGACAGCACTGAGGTACTGCGGGCCACTATAGTGGCCCGCAGTAGATGTGTATAAGAGACAGCACTGAGGTACTGCGGGCCACTATAGTGGCCCGCAGTAGATGTGTATAAGAGACAGCACTGAGGTACTGCGGGCCACTATAGTGGCCCGCAGTAGATGTGTATAAGAGACAGCACTGAGGTACTGCGGGCCACTATAGTGGCCCGCAGTAGATGTGTATAAGAGACAGCACTGAGGTACTGCGGGCCACTATAGTGGCCCGCAGTACCTCAGTGCTGTCTCTTATACACATCTTGTAGTATCGTAAAATAAAAAATCGGTCATTTTGACCGTGGTAGGTTTAGTGTTAATATAGTTCTTTTTTCGCTGCATTTGCATTTTATACAAGCTAATGCATTTTATGCGTGTGAAATTGAATTTTGCGACAGATGCAACAGTCGACCTTTCGACAGTTTTTCAGATTGATTAATCAAATTATTTTGAAACGTGACATCACAATTTTTAATGGCGTCGCGGAGTCGTCATTCGAGTGGAAAGGGTTAATACTTCGTGAGTGAGGCACGTATAGGTGACACCAATTTTTAAGTAGGTCTTTAAAATTCATTTTTGGATATTTGCAATGTATTGGATAAATTGAATGTTACTAGAATTTGTTGAATACAAGATAGCTGAAACAATATTTTCTGTGGTTAAATTATCACTTTCTAGTTTTGGTGTCATTAATTAAATGATTTTAATATTGCGTGAATTTTTCGAGTTAATATTCGCCACTTAATGTGTTAGCACGTTCAGTGTACCGACGATGATACATTTTTACATATTTATTTAATACACTAAAAAAATAATAGTTTAAATTTGAAATATATATTTCAGTTCCAAATTTTAGTTCAGAATAATTTAGAACTGAGCAATTAATTTCCACCACAAGAATGAGTCGTAATAAGTTTGTTTACGATAATAATATATACGATATATATATATATATATACGATAATTAATAATTACATATAACATATCAAGTTTTAGCAAAGTATCAAATGGCCATTGTGAAGAATCGAATAAAAACAGCTCGGCATGGAACGTATTAAAAAATTGTAATTATGATAAATTGCTATTGAAAACTGTAAGTCACAATTTCAAAAGATTTAAATTAAATCATTAATTGAACCGTAGCATCTTGGATTTACGTATTTATCAGAAAAAGACGTCGTAGAAAGAAATTCTATAGATCGAGAGAAATCGTGAAATTAGAAACACCGCCAATTATTTTAGATTAAATATCATTTTCGATATCATATTATATTTCATTATATTTCATAATTTACTTAATTCCAGCGATCAGAATTTCGAGCGACAACGTCTCTAAAGCGTAAAAATCGTAAATTGCGGCGTTCTTCCTTCCAACCGCAGACATATTTCATAGAATTCTCCCGAAGCACCGGCAACAACTTCCCCATACTTTCTCGCGCCAATACCCAAATCCCTGCAACACCGAACCCCGCCAGAAAATGCGCAATCCGAACGAACATCACGTGGCCGTGTCATATCGAAACTGCAGAAGTCAGGATCCACCGCGTCATTTGCACGCATCGTCCTGAGTTTCCTCGAAAATTCGCGAATTAATCCGGCGCGAGGAACGCGTCCGTTCGCCGAGAAATTCGCGGCGCTCGCGAAAGAATCTCGGCGATAGCGCGTAGGATTTTCGCGATCGCCGGAGAAGAAAAAAATGCGTCGTACGATGTGAAATACGGTGACCGTAGCCGGCGTCGACGGCAACGCGTTTAAAAGTTATCGCTCGGATCGTTCCCCGTTCCCGTTCCCGTTCTCGAACGCGGCGATTCAGCTAGAACGTACAGGGTGTCCCAAAAATGTCACGCAATCCGAAAGTAGGGGATTCCCGAGGTGATTTGAAGCAACTTTTTCCTTAGCGAAAATGCAAACAGCGGCTTCGTTTACGAGTTATTAACGAAAAACAGTAACCAATCGGAGGCGAGATCATTTGGCGCGAGACGGTCGAGCCAATGAGCAGAACTGGGCTCCGTGCACTCGTTGGCTGGGCCGCCGCGCGCCAGCCGAGCTCGTCTCTTATTGGTCAGTGTTTTTCGTTAATAACTCGTAAACGAAGCCACGGAGAAAATTTTCGCAAAGGAAAGAGTTGCTTCAAATGACCTCAAGAACCTCCCATTTCCGGATTGCGAGACATTTTCGGGACACCCTGTACACGCGCGCGGGATTATGATTTTTAAGGGCGCGCGGGCGTTAATATTTTCGTTAATAACTCGTAAACGAAGCCACGGAGAACATTTTCGCAAAGGAAAGAATTGCTTCAAATGACCTCAAGAACCTCCCATTTCCGGATTGCGAGACATTTTCGAGACACCCTGTAAACGCGCGCAGGATTATGATTTTTAAGGGCGCGCGAGCGCGACCATGTAACGCGGCGCAGCGGCGGCGTTACCATTCCTAAACCTATTGACATCGTTAAGTATAAAATCGCAAGCATTACCCTTACTCTTTTCTATTTCATTGATCTTGGTGTTCTCCCAGGCGTTATCGTCGGCGACGTACCCATACTACGCGGCGGCAGCAGCTGCCGCCGCGGCGGCGGCGGGCGTCGCGGGTGTCGGAGGCGTCGGTGGCGTCGGGGGTACCGGACAGCTCGGATACTGGTATCCGCCCCAATCTTACCCCACGACAGCGACGCAGATGCAGGCGGGTGGTTTCCTGCAGGGAATGCAGGGATACACTTACGGACAGTTCGCCGGCTATCAACAGGCGCAATACATGGGGTGAGCTGCGAAATTACGATCTACGTCCTACACCCGTGGAAATAGTAATCTCGAGTTAGGCGCTGGTTTCGCGACGCACGGTGGTCGGTTTACATACAAAATGCAGAAAAGAACGTATTAAAAGCACAATTATATATTGAATTATATATAATTACAATTATGTGTATATTTAATTATATATTTAAATATTTATATGTATATTTAATTATATATTTAAATATTTATATGTATATTTAATTATATATTTAAATGTTTATATGTATATTCAATAATATATTTAAATATTTATATGTATATTTAATTATATATATTTAAATATTCATATGTATATTTAATTATATATTTAAATATTTATATATCTAATACACTTAATTATATATTTAACTTTTACTTTTTCATTTTATATTACTAGTAAATATATTTGAATTTTCGTTGGGATAGAATAATGAAAACGAAGTGCAGGGTTTGAATTGTTTGTGAACAAATTTAAAAAAAATATAATTTTTGTTTTTTCGATTCAACTCAATTGGTAGATAAGTACTACAAATGTGGTAGAAAAGATCGTAGTAAATAGCAAGGCTATTGATTAAAAGGCATGTTTAATTGACTACTAGTGAATAAATTATGCATTATGAGGATATTTTTAAAACTGATTTTTTCCCATTTTTTGTATGGAAATCGACCATTATGCGATGTCTCGCAGTGTGCGTTGTGATGGACGAAACCGATAAATCCAAAATATTCAAACTATAATTTCTTTTATCGGAAGATGTTTAATGAATGTACGTAGAGTTTAATATTGTTCATCGTTTTTACCAAATTTACCCATGTAAACTTGTTAAATGTTCGCCTTTGTAAGGTGCGTTAATTGTTGCAGTATCTTCAAAGATACTAAATATTTTGTCCACAATATTTCATAATTTATACTAACCTTTTATGTCTAATTGTTTATCCATTTTGACAAGACTTTAAAAAGAAACACGAGAAAACATCCCTCCGATTTTGTATACGTTACTTCGAGGGACCTCGAACTTTACTTTAACCTGAACTTTAGACGCCTAAACTTGCTCAAAAAGCAAAAAATAATCAAAATTGTTATTAAATATAGCAATATTTAATGGCACCTAATCAATGCTAACATAAAAACAAGTACACGATTGAGCCAGAAAATATTACACGGCCCTAACAGTGTTAAAAAAAATGAATACAATAATCCGAACAAATAATATAACACAAATCTAACAGTGTTATAAAAATAAAATCACGATCGGCCGAACAATTGAAACACGAAAGCAATTCGTGTTTATACATTTACGTCCTACTTTGCTCTATAAAGTTCATAAATATTTCACAATTTTTTCACGTAACCCTAAAAAACAACTGGCTCGCAAAAGCACAGGATCTTATTCACGGTCAAAAATGACGCTCAAAAATACGTTGAATAGATATTTCGGAGAGAGACTAAAAGCTATAGTTGCGAAGAGTGAGCAATTTAGCTGAAAAATTCTCTGTTCTTCGGAAGCTCATTTGTTTACTGGAAAATTACATGAGCAACCTGTAAATACAGAATGGGAATGGGTGTCCACGCTGCTGGCACGGCAGCAGGTTGGGGCCAGGGATTACCTGGGGGACCACAGTTACCACCACACCACGCCACGACGGTCACGGCACCCCCAGGGGTGCAAGCCGCACCCCCACCACCACCACCACCGGCACAAATGATGGCCTACCCGATGCAACAGTTCCAGGTAACCATTATTTTTCTCTGTCTGTTTTGTGTACGCGAGCATATTTCGTTACGTACTATATCTATATATATATATACATATCTATACATATATCTATATATCTCTATTCTCTAATCGATGTAAGTGTAACCTCGCTTTACGTGTCCCTGCATTGGCCTCTTTTTGATTCACTCGTTCGACGCTCGCTGGAAATACTGTTCGACAAAACATTCCGATGTTTGCGGCAACAAGAAGACGAAGCGCTTTTTTACACATCTTTTTTTGATGCTTTCCAATTTCATTAACCCCTTCAAACATAGCATTTTCCTCGCAGTTACCGCGATTAGGAATTTTTCGATTGCAATCATTTCTTAGAAGCGAAAGAAAATTGATGCTTATTGCGTGCCTGAATTTACTTGAATGCTCAAACATCGATGACGAGAGTTTAGCATTTTATTCCAATTTTAACAGATAAAATAACAGCTATGCTAATAATAAATTATTACTAAAAATTTTCATGACGAATCGGACTCGTCAAAGTACGGCAAGGGGTTAAACACGTGATCTCGCTTGCGAAGAAGAAAATATTAGATCCAAGTATCGCGGTGTATTACAATAGAATGTAAGGGTTCGATTATTATTCAATTATTTATTTTCGCGTCAAATCCGGCGGTGTCGTTGATTTTAAAAAAATATCGCGGTGTATTACAATAGAATGTAAGATTTCGATTATTACTCAATTATTTATTTTCGCGTCAAATCCGGCGGTGTCGTTAATTAATATTTATTGTGCGAAAGGTAGACGTTTCATTTGGCGGAAAAATTTATTATCACGAACGTCGATCATTTCAGTTAAAAACTTTTAATTTAATCAGAAAATGGTATCGCCTTCTTGTTGCGGCAACCCCTTTCAAGCGTTTTTCATTACGCAAATGTTATTGAAATATTGCTCGGGTTTCTCGCGAAATTTTGGCCGGTTTTCTAGATTGTCGCCGGCATTGTTTCGAACGTATTAATTATCGTTAACTTGCCGCGTTAATGAAACATTCAAAATCGTCGGAATTTCGATGTTTTGCGAATATAACCAATGGATTTGTAATCGCGCGAGTATCGAAAGATGATTGAATCAAATTGCGGCGATAATTTTCTGTGTTCCGGTCTTGGCTTCTTTACACGAGATATCGGAATTAGTCGGAGTGATTGAACGATGTTGATCGCAGAAATTTGTGTAACGAGTGGCTTTCTAGCAAGAATGTTGTCCCCGATACCCTAAAATATAGCATACCTTGCATTACGTAATGAACGTCGCATCCCGCTGCTATTGCACGCATAAATTTCACTGATATCCACGCGATCGGCTGGAATCGATCGTTACATGCCGTTTCATCGGGCAACCTTCGTTACACTTTAATAAAGTCGAACACTTTTGTTCGGCGTTTTCGTTCATTCTTTCATTTATTTACCATCCTATTTGCTTGATTGTACTTGCGAATGCTGTTCGTGCATTGTTGCTACGCGGTGTGCATTTAACAATTACCATCGAATCTCTAACAACGCAAACGTGACGGTTCGAGAACGTGAAACGACGCGCAAAGAGAACGTAAACGCATCTTTCATGTCGCTTATCATTTTCGTCGATAACGTCCAAGTAAAATATATTGGGTTGGCAACTAAGTAATTGCCGATTTGTTCAATGAAATAAAAATTTTTTTTTCACTTGGAACGAAGTTTAATCTGTAATGTATTTTCCATTTTGTTCGACGACCTTTTGCCATCTCTCTGACAACTTGAAAATTCCACGCTCGTAGAAAGTCTGATCCTTTTCGGCCAAAAACTGAGTTAAGTGAGATTTTACAGCGTCATCATCGTTAAAAGTTTTACCACGAAGGGAGTTGTCCAGGGATCGAAATAAGTGGTAATCCGATGGCGCGAGATCGGGGCTATATGGTGGGTGTAACATCAATTCCCAACCAATATCCATCAATTTTTGCCGAGTGGACAAAGACGTGTGCGGCATAGCATTGTCCTGCTGGAAAATGATACCATTACGATTGACCAATTCTGGTCGCTTCTCCTTGACCGCTGCATTCAATTTGTCCAGTTGCTAACATTCACGGATAATAAAAAATAACATAATAATAATAATAATAATAATTTTATAATATAACATTTACGGATATCATAAAAATGGGAGTTAGAGACATCTATAACTGAAATCGGCAATTACTTAGTTGCCAACCCAATAATAACAATAATAACGCAATTAAAACGGTGAAATTCATCGATAGATGAGATTCCGTTTTTCACCGTAATGTTTCAGCTTTATTCCAGCATTTATTCGTTTGACACTTTCAGTGAAAAAAAAAGAAAAAAAAACAAACAGCTACAAACAATTGCCGAATAAAAGAACTGAGAAGGCTAATGGGGGCATTAACTTCGGTCGGCGAATTGAACAAATAAATCAGACGGAATTTGTGTGCGTACGTGAAACAAAAGTGATCCCCGCGCAATTCCCCCGGGCACAATTCAAATTCTTCTACTAATTCACGAGACTTTCTGTCGCCGTTATACATACGTATCGCGGCTGTGACGCGCAAATTTTTATACGTAATTATTTTATTCTTCTATTATCGCCGCTTCGCGTCGTTGACGGGCTTCGTCGTCGCGTATTTCTCATATTTTTCACCGGACGAAATTCGTTCGCGATTAATCGACGCGATCGAAGCCAACCGCAACATTTTTATCCAGGAAGAAAATAAAGTTTAATTTCGAACGTCTGCTAGATGCACGATCATCGTCACTTCGCACTTACGATCGTAAAACAGATTTCCAAAAAGATCCCTTTCTTCTTGCGGATGCGAATTCGACGTTCTATTTTCTATCGTACCGAAAACGACAGATAAAAATAATGCGCGATCGCCTCTAATCAGCAATGTCTCTCTAATTGACGCCTAGATTGTCCACAGAAACGGACAATTTGGGAAGAGGAGATACGATTATTCGAGCCTTGCAGTTAATTTTCATAATTACGAATTGTCAATAACCATAATAACGAGTCGCAAGGCACGAATAATCAGGCTCCTCTAAAATAAGGAGCCTAATTATTAAATAATAATAAGGCTCTCTAATTGACGCCTAGATTGTCCACAGAAACGGACAATTTGGGAAGAGGAGATACGATTATTCGAGCCTTGCAGTTAATTTTCATAATCACGAATTGTCAATAACCATAATAACGAGTCGCAAGGCACAAATAATCAGGCTCCTCTAAAATAAGGAGCCTAATTATTAAATAATAATAAGGCTCTCTAATTGACGCCTAGATTGTCCACAGAAACGGACAATTTGGGAAGAGGAGATACGATTATTCGAGCCTTGCAGTTAATATTTACAATTGCGAATTGTCAATAATCATAATAACGAACCGCTCGAATAATCAGGCTCCTCTAAAATAAGGAGCCTAATTATTAAATAATAATAAGACTCCTCCTCCCAAATCGTCCATTTTTGTGCACAACCTGAGCGTCATTTAGGGAGACATTACCACTGTTCTCCGTGCAAACAGAGATTCTCTTTCGCATCCGCGTTTCTTCCGCCGCGGCGGCGCCGGCAATGAATAAAAACGACGCGTTGGATCTTGAAATAAAAAAAATAAGAAAAAGGTATTATTTGTCGGCGTCGCGTAAATTCTGGCGTTTAATTCGACGCGCGGCTTCTACAAATATCCAAGCAATTAAGACGTCCAAATAAATATGATTTGTAGGAGCACGACTTAACTTAATCCTTACGAATGCAGCTATCGCGCTCTGTTTGAGCAGGTCTTGCGAAAAATCTAAGACACACACACGTCCGCGATTTATGTATCCCGATAATGGCCGTGCTCCGTGTCTGATCCGCGAGCGTGCGAACAAATCATGCCTGATCCGCGAACTTGTATCGAGCATGCGAAACGTCACTTTCATACTCGTCTGCACGATTGTTCGATCTGCACGGATTACGAATACATTCGATAGCGACGCGATGCATGGCCGACATTACCACGCTTATTGCACCTGATTCTCTGAAGTCGAGTATCTCGCTGGACTTTCATCGGTTCATTTACGAAATTCGAATCGTTCCTCGCCTCGATCGTTCGACCCGATCCGCGCGCGGAATCGAAGCACGACGAAAGGAGTTCGGAGTCGAAAAAACAAGAACGCGACGACGTTCGTCGAACGAACGATAACGCGTTCCAGTTGAACGGAGGCTGTCATTGATTGCCAAGGTCTCCAAGATTCCGAAAGGTAGACGATCGTCATCCAGGAGAGATACTCGAGGTCATTCGAAGAACTACTTTTATTTACATATTTCGGTTCGCAGGCACAGTGATCGCTACACCTATCATCGCACGGCCTGGCTTATCCTTACTTTCGAATATCTCTTTACATCAAGAAAACTGCATCTACAACCTGGCTCAACCTCGAATTGAAGCAGCGAATAGTCGTTGGAGAACGTGTTTCTAAAATGGGTACCGTCGTGCCGTGCGCGAGCACGCAAGAAGACAAAACGCCGGGGACGAACGGGGGAAGAACGAGCGGGAGTACCGTATCGATCGTATCGATCCTCCCGTCGATCGTTTCGCTGTCGATCGAACGCCATCGTAAATGAAACCGTTCCGAACACGGACAAAAAAAAAAGAAAACGGATCGGACCCGATCGAGCCGCACACGATCGAACAGAATCTTCCAAAAAAAAAGAAAAAAAAATAAGAACCCGAGCACCGTCGAGATAGATCCGCGTGCGTTTTCTTTCCTTTCTTTGTTTCACTTTTTTAAACTTTCTGTTCCTTTCTTCATTCCGCCGTGACTATTGATCGTCGACCAGCGAGATATCGTATTCACACTTTTCACAACTTCCGAGAACAATTGAGGTTGAGTCACGGTAAAGGTAGATTCAGATCGATTAGTCCTCGTGTATAGAGTGTGAAGAAATGGAGCGAGAAGCGAGAGAGAGCATGAGAGGGAGCGAGTGAGCAAGAGAGCGAGGTGGCTTTGCGATAAAAGTGAGAGAGAGAGAGAGAGAAAGCGAGAGAGAGAAAGAGAGAGAGTGTGTGTGTGCGCGTGTAAGAGTAAGAGTGCGCGCGTGAGCGGCGAGAGAATGGTGGAGAGAAAGAGATGTTCAGAATATTTCTATTATTTTCTTAAAATTCGGACCAAGACTTAACCAGCGTTTGTGTGTTCAAATGGTAAAGTGTGTTCTTGGTTGCGGTCCAGCTAGCGGATGAGGACTGGCTGACGCCTAGCCTTCTAGTGTGATGGTAAACAAGTACACCCCACCAACAGGAACAACTTCTACAGCAACAACAGTTACTACCACCACCATTATCACCACCATCACCACCACCACCACTACAACTACAACTACAACAACCAACAACAACTACAACAACAACTACAACAACAACAACAACAAAATTTTCATCCGCATCGACGCCACCGCGACAGCAAAGAGAGGCGAAATCATGCCGCAGCCGGCTTGACGAAACCGAAGACGGAGAAAGCAGTGATCAGCGAACGGAAACAGTTAACGACCGCTCTGGCGAACGAGGGAAAAAGGCTCGAGAAGTCTCATGATCTGTATTTAACGGGCAAAGAAGAAGAAGAGGAGGAGGAAGGAGAAGAGGAAAGAGGAAGAAGAGGAAGAACGCGTGTTTCTTGAGCGAGCGTGCAGCCGGAAGCGGAATGGAACGAAACACGCTTCCGCGATCCCCCGTAAATTTTCACGTCCAGTGTAACCGGCAATCTTGAACGAGGAAGAAGAAGATGAGAAGAGCGAGCGAGTAATTCGATGGGAGAAAAGAAAAGGAAGGAATTTTAAACCGGAGGTGTCCTCTCGTCCAGTCTGTGTAGGATAACGTAGTTGTCTCTCTCGGCTTGAATTTAAATAGATAGGCGTCGCCGTCACGGCAGTGACGAAAGCTTTCAGTAATGAAACACGAATTCCGGGATACGCGGAATCCGTCGCCGTGCGGATGGATTCCGTCGAGAGGACCGAGTTCCGAGGCGCGGAGTTTCGCGCGCCGGCCGGTCGCGGGAACGTCCGCGAAACCGGCCGCTAATTAAGGAGAGAGAGAGAGAGAGAGAGAGAGAGAGAGAGAGAGCGTGGGCGAACGGACGGACTCGCGAATTCGCGCGGCTCTCTCGATCGACGTTCAAGCTTCTTCGAAGGGACGGACGTCTGGGACGGCGGCGGGAAGGGCGAGGAGAGAGGGGGGAAAAGGGCGAAGGAACGGAGACGCCGCTGGATACCGAGCCCCGTAACCCGGATTCATTATTTTTGTAGTTTTGGGCTTAAACAGCGAACGAAAGAGAAAAAAATGAGAAAAAACAAAGTTTAATTAAAGAGGGTCGACGGACCCGCGGAGAAACGGAGAGAACGAGGAGAATCGAATGGGAAACGGCGGAGAGACCCCGGCCGTTTGCTCGGACGTTTCTCTCTCGGCTGAATATATATATGTATATCGAGATCGCCGGTGTATAAGAAAAGGGAGCCGGGACGGATAATCGAAGAGAGAGAGAGAAGGATCGCGCGGGAATCGCGTGTGTTATTATAACAAAACGAAAACAAAAAAAAATACAAAATTCAACAATTAGCTAGTTAGGTAGGTATGTTATAAATAAAACAGAAAAAAAAGCGTTATGTCAAGGCGGATTCGAAATTCGGCGGCAGATGGCGGAATGGCAGACCTCTACGAAAGAAACAAAAGAGAACAAAACGATGCGAAGCGACGAGGCTGAGTAAAAAGTAAAGCGAAGAGAAAAATAAATAAATAAATAAATAAAATGAAAACGTAAAAGTAAAAGTAAAAGTAAAACAGTTAAACAGGTAAAAGTAAAACAAGTAAAGATAAAGTAAGAAAAAAAAAAGAGTCGACGATATTTCCACGTTCCTAGGAGAAATATAAATGAAAAACGCGAGATTTAACATTGTCGGGGAATAAAAAAAAATGGCAGAGACTTTCGTACAACCCAAAACTTCGACTATCGTGAACCACGGGACTGATAGAGATCCATGTGTCTTAAAATCCGTTCTCCGCCGCTGCGAGGACTTCCTTCCCCTTCGGTTGTTATATTTACATTATCGAACTCGAGGCCAAAATGACAAATCATGCACCGAAGTCCTTGCGGAGAGAGACCGACGAGCCGTTTTTATTGTTCGACTTGTAATCCTTCTAAACGCGGCGCTTAGACAGTTGGATATTTTTATAAAAGATCAGCCGCGTGCACCGAGGGCTGTCGACTGGTGCTCGGCTGCATTGATCGCGCAATTAAGACAGAGAAGAGCGGGAGAGAGAGAGAGAGAGAGAGAGAGAAAAGAGATGGAGAGAAAAAGAGATGGAAAGAGAAAAAAAGAAAGAGAGAGAGAGTGATGGAGAGAGAGAGAGAAAGAGATAGAGAACGGAAGAGAGGAGCAGAAAGAAGCCGATCATGACAGAGTGTCCAGTAATCGGTCGACTCCAGTGAAACGTATCGGGTCTACCGTGGTTTTTAACTTATACTCTAGATTTTTATATACCATGCATACCATAGAACCAAAGAGAGAATCTCTACTTTAAGACGCTTAAGCAATAAATCATTAAGCTTAGGATGAAGAACAAGCCGTTTACCCCCCGTGTCTCTCTGCTGTAACTCGCTCGCAGGCTGATCAGCTTACGAGCTACGAATTCGCAACAACGAACGGTGTATAGATCGTGAGGAGATGGGACATGACGACGAGAGACGATTGAGATGAAAGAAGAGACGATTGAGATGAAAGAAGAGACGATTGAGAGAGAGAAAGAGAGGGGTAGAATCCATTAACGGTCTGTCCGATGTCCCGAATTTCGACTTGGCCGATCTATCGATGAAAACAAAGAAACTAAAAGTCGAAAAATCCAAGTGTAAGTAACGAGCATATAGGCGTGCGTGTGGCCGACACACCTTGCGAAGGTGGCGACGAGAGAAAGAGAATGAGAGAGAGAGAGAGAGAGAGAGAGCGAGAGCGAGAGCGAGAGAGTGAATGCTAAAAAAAATGAGAATTATAATAACAAAGCGAGAGTCGAGAGAAAGAAATTATACAATTCATAGATAGACACATTGCACAAAACAGCACGAAAGTTAGACTAGATGCATCGAGTTCCTTCCTCGCGGATATGTATCCTGTCCTCCGATCGAGTCTTTGAATTGTTCTGTAACAATCGTCGCATCGAACGCCATAACCGGGGCTTGGACAAGCCCCGAATGTAACCTGTTACAATCTGTTCTAGAAAGATTCGAGCCTTTATTTCGCGCGATCGCCACGAGGAACCGAAGTCTCCGTTGTCTGTTTTGTTCTCGACGCGTTTTCCATTTCTCCTTGGATTGTCCGCTTTAAAACGGACCTCGAAATTGTCGTCGAGCCGGGATATCGTGTTTCGCCGACGAACGCGGACAAACAAATCTTCGCGTGAAAATGTATAACCACCGTTTTCGTTTAGTTTCTCGCGAAACGTCGCCGCATCGCGCGAACGTTTCGCCTTTTCTGCGACGATTCTTTTTGGTAAAAACTGTGTGGCAATCTGCGGCCGCGACGATTGGAGACATCGATGTCTCCCTAACTGACGCTCAGATCGTGCAGAAAAATGGACAATTTGGGGAGAGGAGATACGATTATTACGTGTTCTGCTTCTCGTTTTTATAGTTGTTGACAATTCGTAACTATCAAAAACGAATCGCGAGGCTCGAATAATCGTATCTCCTCTTCCCAAATTGTCCACTTTCGTGGAAGATTTGGGGAAGAGGAGACGCGATGATTTGAGCTTCGCAGTACGTTTTTATAGTCACGAATTGTCAACGATTATAAAAAAAACGAGCTTCGAGGCTCAAATAATCGTATCTCCTCTTCCCAAATTGTCCACTTTCGTGGAAGATCCGAGCGTCGATTAGAGAAACATTACTGTATTCCGAATGACGATGTAAGAAACGAGTTCGAAAGGTTCCGATGGTAGATACGAAGGTAGATGTCTCTCTAAGAAGTAATGTCTCTCTAATTGACGCTCAGATTGTCCACAGAAATGGACAATTTGGGGAAGAGGAGACGCGATTATTCGAGCTTCGCGGTACGTTTTTATAGTCACGAATTGTCAACGATTATAAAAAAAACGAGCTTCGAGGCTCGAATAATCGTGTCCCGTCTTCCCAAATTGTCCATTTTTCTGCAGAATCTGAGCGTGAGTAAGGGAGACATTACTGTAACGGTTGATAATTTCGATAGCTGGCGACAGTTCACGGAAACGAAGGTTCCTCGAGCGATAACAGTGCTCTCGAGCCCTGGCCGCACCATTCGGTAATAATCGAACCGTTATTAGTAGCGCGAAAGAGAGAGGATACTAGATAAGAAAATTAACGAGATTCGGAGAAAACGTATAAGATGAAGGGAAAAAGTGAGAGAGAGAGAGAAAGAGAGAGAAAGAGAGCGACGACAGTTTCGGAGTGCAGGAGAACGGATGGCAGACGGTAGGCTACCTGTTTAGCGGCGAAACCCACCTGTTCCCTAGGTCCGCGCTTAGTTTCCCTCGGTTCCGAGCACGATTTTCTAAATTTCCACGTTTCTCTGTTCGACGTCTCGACGCCGAGGAACACGGGTTTGCCGATCGCGCCGCGTGTCGGTGTTTTCGTACAGTGTCTTTCAACGGCGAGAAACTGTCTCGACGAGCGCGCATCGACAGGTACAAAAAGAAAAATACGAAGGAAAACGGAACGGAACGGAGCGAAGACGTGTACATAATCGACCGGTACAATAAAATTCCGTGTAGAAGTTAGACGGCGCGGTCGACAAAGCCGATGGAGGAACGAGGGAGAACGGGCTAAACGGTAACGTTGGTTCGCGGGCGAGACGAGGGCAAGAGGGACGTGCGATACCGGGAGAGATAAAAGCGATAGAGAATACATGCAACTTTGTTACTAATCAAAAGATATAGACGCGGATCGTGGTTTAAACGAATCAAAAAGCGCTCAAGAGTTTCAAATCAAAAGCGTGATGATCAAAGACCGGTGTACAGCGACACGTGGACGCGACACGTTAGCCTGGATAGAATGGGACTGCGTCGAGCAGCGGCGAAGAAATCAAACGAGAAAAGATGGAGAGAGAGCGCGAGAGAGAAAGCGAGCGAAAGAGAAAGAGAGAGTGAGAAAGTGAGAAAGTGAGAGAGAAAATTAACAAAAAAGAAAAAAAGAAGCGAAAGAAAGAAAGCTCGAGATAAGTGTGTAGAGTTTAGGTGTTACC